GAATTTGTACTTCCTCTCCCACAGGTTTGGATTCTGAATTTCTCCACCTGTGCTTTCCAATAAATTTTACTACTTGAAGTTTGAACTATATAAAACTAAATTAAAATTGTAGCTCCCAATAAAACTGGTCACATATCAGTATTTAATGATCACATGGTGTGGTTGGGCATTGTATTGGACAGGGTTGGCAAAATGTATTCATTTTTCAAGCCAGCATACTTCCACCAAGAGAAACCATGAGAGTCCTATTGACCTGTATGCTTTAGCTCCCACCTGGGCACTTATTTTTCACGGCTGGTGATGGATCACTCATACCCTGGAAATTGAACCTGCTTAACCAACGCGGCAGGACTTTGCTACCCTCTCTGTCCCTCACCTTCAGGCCGTGTGGTCCTCTTGGTTTGGTACTGACAGGGACAGACAGAAGTCACAATCCTCTCAGGAGTAAATGACCCTGCTCATCAGAGGAAGGCACAGATGCTCTTATAATAGGAAGAGAGAGGAGTACCTGTGATCCCCTTGAATATGTCTTGGTAATCCTTTGCCTGATTTCTGTGGTAAATGGGCAAGATCACTCTTTCCAGCATGGAAAAGGCACAGAACCCTGAGGGAGGAGGGTTTGTGTTACAATACCATGTGTGCTACTGTACCTGCACTGCAAAGCGGAACTTTAAAAGTTCGACTTTTTCTTTTAGAGATAAACTTATCCACACTTCCTCCTGCGGAGTACATAACCAACACCTCCGCATCTTCTCAGCCCCAAAGTAGTGACAGGATATGCAGATGCCACCAGCCCAGGAGCCTTGTGCCTGGTATCCTTTCCTCAAGAACGTGGAGAATGAGCCGAGGATGGCGGGAAATGACGAAGCAAGTGTGGAGGTCTGCATGGACTTTATGTGTGCTCTCTCCCCTCTGTTCCTAACAGTAAAAGGCCCTTACCACCTCTGTAAGGTGAGATGGAGGTTTGAGACGAATGAGACTTCCCTCTCCTCAGAGCTAGCTTTGATTAAACTTGTGTTCCTTTTTGCCAAAATATAAGGCCTCCTTTGACTTGGTCATCTGGAAACAAATGAACCTAAGCATATGAGCTGCAGGGGCCTGCACTACTTCCAGGAGCAGCCCAGGTGCTGGCTGACATTGAGGGCGCCCTGGAAAGGCCATACAATCCTCTTGGGCTTTAGGGGCCAATGGCAACAGCGTGCACAGTACGCGGACACTGTCCTTTCTCACACGAACTGCTTTAGGGAAAGACCAACCAGACTCCTTGAGGAGCAGTCCTCAGAGGATGTGAACTTTTCGGCTACAAAATGAGCGGTTTGATCTTCGTCTCAGAAGAGTCTACTCAAATCAAGGCTCGTGTCCTTGCTGACTGCCTGTGGAGTGCCTGCTCTCAGCTCAGCTTTTACACCTGGGTCCGGCTTAACAGGTCTCACGTGGCACAGAGAACTCGTTCATTGTATGTTTCTGTTGGGTGTGCACCTCAGCTCCTCTGGAAGCTTACAGAAAGAAGTTCCTAACATACTTCTTACCAGGGATCTTCAGGTGGAGATAACTGCATGTTGCTGTCAGCTCTGAGTCCTGTCATGGGCTGAGCAGGTGGGAGTAGGGATGGAAATCAAATGCTGCTCCAAACTGGGCAGGCTGAGGCCAGGTGCAGGAGAGGGTGGGCCAATGGGGCACAGCAGCAGGAGGAGGGAACCCGCAGGCAGCATAGGGATTTGGGCGATTTTGGCCACCACCTGCCCTCACACTGGGGAGGACATCACAGGTGTGCTGGGATTGACAGGTGTGCCCAGGAGCCTGAAGGGTGAGGGTGGCATGAAGGAAACTCTGCAGTCAGCATCTGGGGGGTGGCTCCTGCAGGCCCTTCAAGGTACAGAATCAGCTTGGTCCTGTCAAAGAGAATGAACACACATGGCTGAGCCTCCCAGGCATGTAAACAGGGAGGGCTGGGTGCTGTGTGGTCATGGCACGAATATTATTCCAGGGCTCATGCAACACCTCCTACAGATATTGCTGTAACAGGTAATGTGCTGGCTAGCATTTCAGAGGCATAAACTAATCTAGTGACTATTCTTAAAGACAATTGGACTGTAATGCTCCCATATCTCATAAAAGAGGGAAAGACAAGCTGTGTGTTAGTGAGGATTTGTAGTGTCACCATAAGTGGTCAACTGTAGATGGTCAATCAAAAGCAACAATTGTGATTTGCTAAGACAAAATTTTCTTCCTTTCTGGGAGATTTTGACAAGGTGAGATGAGCCTGGAAGTTTTCCAGCCTTTTCGAATGCCATCTACTACATGAGAGATCCTTCAAATGCAGAATTAAACTCATTTCCATATTTTTCCAAAAGTATTAGCAGGAGAGGTTTTTGCTCTTCACTTGCTAGCGCTTCTTTGTTTTTCCCTTCATGGTAACCTCCAATCTTAGCAGGCTGAGAATATTCTCCTGTTTGTGGATTCATGGTCTGTCTGCTAACTGTGAGCTGTTCCTACAGTGCACATGACTGTCCTGGTCTCAACATCAGGACCAGTGCCATTCCGCATATTGAAGATCATGACTTCCCTGTGCGGAGGGACACACATGACAGATTGGAGAAGGAAGGTGTTTTTTATTTTTGTTTTGAGATCAACAAAGAAGCACTTACCGCCTCCTCAGAGGACTTCAGGATCTGGAGGAATTCAGCTGGAGATGTTTTTCTGTCCTCTACTGCGGTGAGCATGGTCCTGCCTCACCTACAGCTTCTCAGGGAGCTTTGGATTTGACCACCTACATAAGTTATACACCTATATAAGTGTTACAAGAACCTTTGTAGTAACTCATTGCATTAAAATCTTACAAAATTGTCCAGATGGTCTGAAAAAAATTTTCCTAAATTACTGTCCAAGACAAGGAGTAGATTATGTTCCAGGTCAAACTCCTTATCACCCATTTGGGAAAGCTTCAGAGTTTGTTATTCTGCTTCTCAGGCACAGAACCTAGGGTCTAAGCCTCATAGTCCAAGGAAAACTTTTATGTCAAAAGGTCTGTTGCTATTGGAGGGTTTCCATAGTGAGAAAAGTGACAGCCAGGGCCTTCTACATGCTGTGGGCGAGGGCAGGTGACTCTGGGCAGTTCCCTGGGAATAGGGTGCACCCATCACCCGCTCATTTTACATTCTTAATTCAGGCCAGGGCTCAGTACCTTAAATACAGGATTGTTTTCCACCCTAAGAGGTATTCTTTATATCTCTGAGTAGAGAAATACTTTGAGCTAGAGCTGGGTTCTGGATGTCAGAAATGGAAACATGGTGGACTCTAGGTGGCCTCACACTAAGAATCTAGGGGTTGTCCTGTCATTTAGCACACAGGCATCCTGAGAAGTTCCTGAGCCCAGTAGACCTCAAGTTCTTCATCTATAAAATGGGCTTGACACACATTTTTGGTTTGGGAACCAGTGGACTGTATGAAGTATATTAAAGCACTTAGCAGAATTTCGGACATACTGTATGTTTAATACTTTTTGATAAGCACCTGGCTCTGATATTTCTTAACCTTGGATGCTATGACACTTTTCCTATAAAATTTGTGCATGTGTTTCCCAGGGAAGTTGCAGGTTAACAGGAATATGAAAAGAAAATCAGGCAAAATGCTACTCACTAACCATCCCCCACAATGTGTCTTCTCCAGTAGGATGTTACTTGACTTGATGTTGGGGACAATTTCCTCTCTGGGAACAACTAATTCACAGCTTTAGGAATCTTAATGAAGAACCATATTCTTCTCCCTGCCAGCTTCTCTTCTACTGATAAAACTACTTTCAATCATATCCCCTTCACCACAAGTCTAACCTTGGGGCTCATGAGGCCTCTGTTCAAAGAGGCCTAAACCCTGGCCCTTATAGTGACAAGGCCAGCTGAGCACAGATGCAGGTCTATGGAACTTAAGGCAAAATGACATACTGTAACAACACCAGCATAAATTTCCTTCACAGAGAAGCATGTGAAAACTGATCTAGATGAAGTCCTGCTATAAGAGAAGGGGAAGACTCTAACAGAATGAGAAGGCTCCTGGAAGGAGAACCTCTTGGGTCAGGCAGTGATTGGATCACTAGAGTAAGAGTCGCAAGTCATTCACCAGATTAAGATAGTCACCTTGGAAGAATGTTCAGGGAAAGTGGACTCTTTTGGAGAAGTTGTCCACAGGAAAACCAGTCAACTGGTCACTGGAAGACTCTGGATATTGGACACTCACAGAAGAGAGGAGCGTACTTGGCCATGGACATTAGGGTCTCATTTCAGCTGAGAGTCACCTTTATATGTCAGGAAATTCTTGCAGAGGTTAGGCGTAAGTCCCCTGTTTTTTGCCCTATATAGGACCACACCTCTCATAGCTGTCCCAGGTGAAGATTCCTCTTAGCTTCACCCACCATCTAAAAGCACTGCTCAGAGCAGTCTTCCATCCTCTGAGACTTTTACCTCAGTCCCAAGACACCTCATCTGAGGGTCTGGCCCTGGTCACCTTTCAGTTGCATTAAAAGCAACTCCTGTAGAAGAAACTGCAGTTACAGAAAGCCAAACTGCCCTGGTTCAGCCCTCACCCGTGGCTGTTCTCTGCTAGACTACACCTCCTCAGTGTTCTTTTTCATTTTCCTTAGTTCCTTCAATACATCTATCTTCCAGAAATTGGCCATACTCATGGATACCCACATCCCATGGGGTAGCTTGGATCCTCCTCAGTCTAGTTTGCTCATGTCTCCACCACAGACACAGGGCCTCCCAAAGTACATACATGCAATGAAGATTTGGGGTCAATGTGTCTGTGAGCAGATGAGCTTTTTTATTGACAGAAATTTCTAATACAATTGAAGAAATCAAGCATATTCAGGTATATATATGTTTAATAGTATAGGAAAATAGGTGAAAAGAAATAAAAGGACAAAGATTTTTATCCTTATGTCTATTTCTGTACTCCATCCAACTTTGAAGTAAACTTCTTATACATTTCCAAGGAATTTCTCTTCTAAAACTATGGCATCTTCTTAAACATAAAATGAAAGGGTTCTAAGTTGTTTTGAAAAAATAGCAAAGGCTCTTACATTTGGAAAGGAAGAAGAAAATTCCTATATGATCAATATCACACAAAATCACATTCCCATCAGGAATCACAATCAAGCATCAATATCAATATAACAAAAATAAAAATATACATGTGATGGGTATTAATATGAAAATAAAATGTGCAAGTTATGTAAAGCTTGCCAAAAAGGGACAAGACTTCAAAAAGTCATGAAGAAAACACAAGTGCATTTCCAAGGAACCCAAATAGAACAGACAGCAAGATGGTGGTATGCATGGGATTTTACCCCTCCTCTGGCTCTTCAGGACTTAGAAAACTATGTGCAATCCAGAAACAGAGTGAAGAGTGGGAGTCATTTCTCCTGGGGTGGGAACTAAGACAGTGATGTGGTTAGGAACACTTCCTGTCGCTGGCACTAACCTTGCCCCTGCACTGCCCCATATCTCAGGAATGGGCAGCCTCTGGGCCCTCTCTCAAAGCCTCCTCATACAGACGTGTGTAAGACCTGGGATCTCTCCTGTTAACCTTCGCCAAATGCTCCAGGACTTTCATCTTGCTTGTTTCAGCCTTGGCCCTTGGACCCCACAGGAACTCATAGTGAGCAGGATCACTATTGGGCACCTGCCGATACTCCAAGTATTGTAGCTGTACCAAATCCTTTGTGATGAATTTCCAGGGATCCCCAATAACAAAGTGCTTCCTCTGAGGTAACATTTCCCTTGTTCTCAGGAATTCCCTTACATCCTCCTCACTGGCACGGTTACCCTTCAAGAAGATGACAATGAGGATGACTAGCAGGAGGTTGATTTTGGAAATGCTCTGGTAATCCTCAGCCAGTAACCCACTATAAGTGAGGCCCAAGACAGGCATAAGGACATATATTTTGCTACCGGGTTCCAATTCTCTCATATCAATGCCAAAGGCCAGACCCATGCACTCACAGACTGCCTTGAATATCTGAGGGAAGTTCTGTCTGTAACGGTGTTCCACACTGCGCAGCATTTCTGTCTTGGTGATCACCTCCTTCCTTTGATACTTGAGGAGCAGGATTGGCAACAGTTTAGCAATCTTGTTATCTTGGTACAGAGGGCACAGCAACTGCAGGACTAGCATGTCTGGGGAGGTGCAGAGATCCTCTTCTTGCCTGCTGCAGCCCTCACTGCATTGGCTCCTGTGACTGGAGGCCATGGCAGCACGGAATGAAGACACCTGGGGACAACTCGGTGCCCTAGTCCTTCACACTTCTCTTGATGTAGCAGGGATTTGAGTACTGAAGGATGAGGAGCCAGAGGAAGGAAGTGCTGGGTGCTACTTCCTCTCTCAGAGGCTTCAAAACCTGCACGCCTGCCAGGCCCCGTGCACCTCTTTGGACAAGAGCGCCTCCTCCTAGCTTGCTGTGCTGTGTCCTCTGACAGTGAAGAAGTTCTGAAGTTCTTTGGGGAGAGCAAGAGCTTGGTGATGAGGAGTCAGATGCCTGGAGGACAGAAGGAGACTGTGAGAGTTCTTACCTGACCAGAGTCCTCCTGTCAGCTCCCAGAAAGGCCCATTGGAGGTCTTCTCTTTGGGTGGTGTTCACGGGTACCCGTCTGAGAGGCACTGTCCCCAGAAGCATGACAGAAAGTCAGAATGCTCCTCAGGCTGCAGCTTAACCTCAGAGAAAGCTCTGGGGCAGACGGTAGGGCTTGTGGGGCCTGGGGAAAAGGATTCCCCTCTGTCCTTGGGCAGATGGAGCCCTAGGTACACATTCAGCGCACGTCCCTCACCTTGACTCCTGGGCCTGGTCTGCTGTGTGATCTGTGGACACTGCCTCAGACCAAGACCTTCCTCTCCTGGTTCCTGAGCTCCTGTAAGAGACACGGAGGGCACCTCAGGCTGCAGACATCCAGCAGAGGCCCTGTGTCCCAGCCCTCACGGGAGGGGTGGGCTGGCCTTGTGAGGTCTTCACTCCTCTGGGTGAATGGTCCCCTTTCTGCTCACTCAGGGCCCCCAGCTGTCTTGAGCAGGCAGAGCCTGGACTTCAGCCCTTTACCAGCCTGGGGCAAACTCTCAGAAAACCAGTGTCTTATTGCCTGAAGGGAACAAAAGGCAGTAAAGGAGGAACACACATGGCCATAGATAACTGCCTGGGGCAACAGCTAGAGGTGGAACAATTAATTGGGGTCCCTATGGCCCAGAAACAGGAACTTGATCCATCCTTATCTTGATAAATTGTGAGGTCTGGGCTTCCCCCTGGGATGACCTGGGGCTACCTTCATTAAACCTCTGCCTTGTGTATGTGAGACACTTGAAAGTGAGGGGAAGTCAGTACACCTGTGCTCCCTGGGTCTGACTGCAGGAGACAAAGGGACAGGTTGAGGGTGGGGTAGAGGTGGGTTCCCTGTACCTCACCTAGACCCTTGAGAGACCCTGGGATCCTACTGCTGTTGCCTGGCTTCCAGAATCCTATACCAAGGCCTTCAGCTCTATGAGCTCAATGTTGCAGAACTAGCAGCAGCAGCAGGACAGCCCTGCCCAGGCTTCCCCACATGACCCAGGGCTCAGGGAAGATGTCTGTGGAGCACTCACCATCTGTGTTCTGGGCAGTGTTACTGTCAGCCCTCCCTTGGGTTCCTCACTTTGCTTTTTTCAGATCCTGGTACCCTTGAGTGTCCTGACCAGGTAGAGGTCCTTGTGCCAATCTGCAGGCACCATCTCAGATCAAGTCCCTCACCTCCCTGAGATCCCCAGCATTCTCAAAAGAAGTGAGCAGGCGCCCATCACATCATCCCTACATGGGGCTTCAGTGCTGACAGCAGGACCTGTGCCCATCTCTCCTGTGATTCACGATCCCTGTTATGGTTTCACCCTAAAGGCCCATGGGATCATAGGCAGGACCTTTAGATGAATGGATTATGGGGCTTACAGCTGACACACTGCTAGGTGGTGGTGCCTTTTAGGAAGACAAGGGTCACTGCGTGAGCTAGAGCAGGGCCTTTCCACTCTACTGTTAGGCCTTGGAGATGGCGGACTATGGATCAAAACCTCTATAAATTGTGAGCCAAAATCAACTTTTCCTCCATTGATTTGCACTTGTCAGGTATTGTGTCGATGCAATGACGTGGTAAGCAAAGTAGCCCCCGATGTAATTGTATAATTTCTCCATTTTCCTTGTGTGCATACCTGCTCTTATCTCCCTGAGGACTCCCCAACTTCCCGCCTGAGTTAGAAGTGAGCATGTCTCTTAGGGCCTCTGAATGCTGACCCAGGGAACAAGTAGGCTCTGTGAGTCTGTTGTTTCTGGATAGTAGGCACCCTGAATCTTAAGGAAGAGGCCATAAGTTGGGTCTGTGTGCTCCTGGGGTCCTCCAGTTACTAACCATATGTTGCTCCCTTTGCTGACTTGCAGTTACCCCTTGGCCCAAGGTCTTCACCTCCCTCAGTGCTCCCAACTACAACCACTTAGTAGAATCCAAAGAAATCCCTGTGCAGCCCCCTCACCGAGAACTCCTGGCTGATAATAGGAGAAGCCAGGCTCCGTGAGGTCACTTCTTTCTGTAGCTGCGGGTTATCTAATAAATCTTCAGTGCTGGGAAATATCAGAGTAGTGAGCAATAGCAATTCACCCTATCCAAGACTGAGAACTCAGAGTATAGAGAATATTATCTTGGGGAGAAAAAGAAAGAAAAACAAACAAACTAAGTAAGAAAAAGACAAGTAGATCCCCAGGAATCCAGAAGGAAATGATATGAAAAGTAAAATGTACAGAGAAGTACAAAGACAGGCTACAATGCAGAAAAGGACACAAATTAGTTCTCTCTGCAACCTGTCTCATGGGAAAGTGACTAAATCTGTAGAACCAAAGTGAAACCTGGGGACCCCAGGAAGTCCAGTAGAGAAAAGGAAGGGAGGGGTTCAGTGGAGTAGCAGTTGCTGTGATCTGCAGGGACAGCAAGCAGTGGGTGAGGGCCGCTTGGAGAGTGCATGGGTTTGGGTTCCATTCCAGGAAAGGTTTGGATGTCTGCACTGGGGACTCAGAACAGCCATGGGCTGCTTTACTTCAGGGTTCCCAGTATTATCTTCTCACATTGACCGGGGGAGAGACAGTCCCAGGAAACATCCCCGGATGAGGGAGGGCCTGAGAGAAACTGTTCATTTAAAATCAGAATTTTTTCTTATCTTTTTTCACATCTTTCTTATTTTTCCTATTCTGTTTTTGTTTTTGTTTTTGATACTGGGGATCGAACTTGGGTCCTTGCCCTTGCGAGGCAGGCAGCGGAACCACGGAGCTAAATCCCCGGCCCCATTTTTCCTATTCTTTACTTTTAATATTCCTTTAGTTTTAAGGTCCATATAATTTTTTTCTCTCCTTTTTCTTTTATCTTCTATTTCTCATCAGTTTTTTCTGTTACCTTTACTTAATTCTATAAAGATCCTTCAGTCCACAATAGGATCCTTTGTCCCACTTCTTTGTCCTCCTCATATCATATAGTTTGACCTTTCATATTTTTCTTCTTGAATTCTCCCTTTCCCAGATCCCTATATTTTTAATAGTATAAACAATAAGCTTTATTAAACTTTATAAGAAAGATAACATTATGAAATGACTGTTGAAGGTTTTCTACAAATAGCGGCTCTCTAGCTCTTGTAGTTAGTACATATTAGCTGTATGTCAATACCAGGGTTGTCTTCATGTATACACTATCAATGTAGATTTCTACTCAGTGTAGTTAATCATGGTACATTATTGTTTCTATTTGTATTTTAATATCCAATTTCTGTTGCGTAATACTGCTGTAGCTGATTTGGTTGACACTGCCAGGGTCACATAAATGTTACAATTAATAGGTTTTTTCTGTATGATAATTCCCAAATTATCACCCAAATAACAGTACCAGGATACATTCCTAGAGATCTTGGTGTTGAGCCAATTGCACTGCATCCTCCTATCCCAAATTAACAGAGTGGTCAGATCTTAGGGAAGAGGAAAAGGACTATAGTTAGCTATGCCCAAACTACATCACTGAAAAGCAAACTAACTAAGCAGATCTCTACTAGTAACAAAGTCTTTCCACTATCAGTGCCACAAAACTTCAACACACACACACACACACACACAAACACACACACGAAACATGAGAAGATAAGGCCACAGAATGTCTCTCAAAATTTCCAACTCCCCCAAATCCAATCCAAGTGGGAGAATAGCATAAGCCACATATTGAATTACTCAGAATCATAGTAGTGGAGTTGAGAAAAAAGAGACAGGAGAACTTTGGCGGAATCACAGAAGATATAACTAAACAGAAAATAGAAGTAATTGTGCCCAGGGATTTAGCTCAGTGGTTTTGCTGCCTACCTTGCAAGCGCAAGGTCCAAAGTTCAATCGCCATTACCAAAAAGAAAGAAAAAAGAAAAGAAAATAGAAGTAATTAACCAAACTGATCAAGGAGATTTCCGAAAACATTAATAAAAGGCTAGCTGAGCTAAATCAAATGATACAAAACACAAATGAGCAATTTATCACAGAATTTTAGTCCATGAAAAAGTTTCAATCAGAAATCTTGGAAACTAAATATTATATTGAAAATGTCTGTAGCAGAAGCAACCGGCAACACATAAAAATTCTAAATAATTCAAAATGACCAATGAAGTTGAAGCATTTATAGATAATAATAAAATAAATTATCAACTAAGAAAACCTGAGGTACAGAAGAATTCAGTGCTGGATTCTACAAGAACTTTAGATAAGATCTAATGACATTACTCCTCAAAGTCTTCAGCAAAATTGAAAGAGAAGCAGTATTCCCGAAAGCATTCCTGGAAGCAAGCATTACCCTGATAGCAAAAGCAGAAAAAGATCCAATCAACAAAGATAAGTACGAGCCATTCTCTTTAATAAACATACATGCTAAAATCTTCAATAAGATCCTGGCAAATAGAATGCACTAAGTCATCAAGACCAAGTAGGATCCATTCCAAGGATGCAGGGATAGTTCAATATGCTCAAATTAAAATGTAACATACTGCTTAAACGGAAGTAAGGACAAAAATGCAGGAATATCTCAATAGAAAAAACATTTGACAAAATCCACCATCCATTCGTGAAAAGAATAGATATAGAAGAAACAAATTTCAATCTGTTAAAAACATGTATGACAAACCAATGGCCAAATTCATATTAAATGGCAGAGAAGCTAAAAGCTTTTCCACTAAAATCAGAAAGAAGACCAGGATGTCAGCTGTCATCACTCCCGTTCAACATAACTCTAAACACATTAACCAGAGAAATCAGACAAGAGGAAGAAATTAAATGCATATGCATAGGAAGGGAAGAATTAATCTGTGCTTATTTGCACATAACAAGATCCTCCATGTTGAAGACCCCCAAAACACTACAAAGCACTCTTAGGATTAATAACCAAATTCAGCAGAGAGGCACATTACAGAGTCAACATGCAAAACTCAATACTCCTCCTGCCCACCAGTAATAAACATACCAAGAAAGAAATGAGGGAAATAATGCCTTTCACAGCAGCAGCAAGAAAGATGAAATACATAGGAATTAATATAACAAAGAAAGTGAAAGACTTCTACAATAAAAATTACAGTACTGTGAGAAAGGAGATAAAAGAGGCCATCAAAGAATTGAAAGAAACTTCCTGTTCTTGAAGATGCAGAACCAACATAATTAAGTGGTCATACTTCCAAACTGTTATACAGATTTAACACAATCTCAATGAAAATATCAATAGCATTCCTCACAGAACTAGAGAAAACAATTTTAAAATTCAGATGGAACCAGAAGAAGGGACTATAGAATAGCAAAAGCAAACGTTGACAACATTAGCAAACCTGGAGGTATTACAGTACCAGACCTCAAGTTAAATTACAAATCTACAGAGATAAAAACAGCATAGAACTGACAAAAGCCATTTTGTGGATCAATGGAACAGAATATAAGGTACACAAACAAAGCCAAGAGAATTCAGCTATGTTATCTTTGATAAAGAGGTGAAATACTTTCGCTGGAGGTCTCTTTAACAAATAGTGCTGGGAAAACTGGCTACCCACATGCCAAAGACTGAACCTGGACCCATATCTCTCACCATGCACTAAATTAGAATCAAAATGCATCAAATATCAAAATATTAAAACAGAAGCAATCTGCTGGAAGACAAAATAGGTAACACTCTGGAAGACACAGGCATAGGGAAAGTCTTAATGAACAGAAACCCAAGTACACACTAAATAATATCAAGAATCAACAAATGAGATTATATCAAATTTTAAAACATCAGCACAGCAAAAGAAACAATCAACAGAGTGAAGAGACAACCTTCAGAATGAAGAAAATTTGGCAGGTACTTCTCAGACAATGGATGAGTATCTCTAATAAATAAATATCTCAAAAAATTAGGGCTCCAAAATTAAAATATCCAATCAAGACCTTGTCTTCTGAAATGAATGACACTCGATGCAATACAAATGGCCAATAATACATGAAAAAATGTTGAATACTGCTGGCCATTCAAAAAATGCAAATTAAAAGAACAATAAGATTTCATCTCACTGCAGAAAGAATGGCTATCTTCAAGAATTCAAACAATAGCAAATGCTGGTGAGCCTGAAGGGGGAGTGGAGAGGAAACCTTATTCATTGCTTGTGGGGGTATTAACTGGGACAAATACTATGGAAATGGGTATGCAGATTATTGAGTAAAGTAACACTAGAACTTACATTCAACTCAGATATTCTACTTTCACGTATCTTGTTGAGGGGATTAAATATATCATAATGCAGAGATATATTCATATGTATTTTTATAGTAGCACAATTAACAGCTAAATATTTGAAGGAGCCTGTATGTCCATCAACAGATGAATGAATAAAGAAAATGTGGTATTTATGTACAATGGAATACTACTCTGCCATAATAAGATAAGCTTCAGTCATTTGTAGAAAAATGGATGTACCCCACAACGTAATGTTAAGTGAACAAAATCAGACGCCAAGCATAAATGTCATGTAGTTTTTCTTTTGCGAGAAACGAAAAATACAAAGAGCGAAATGAAAGAGAGAGAATAGTAAATAGTGGACTGATCCTTAGCACGCGGGAGGAAATGAAGAGATGCAGAGATTGAGGAAAGGGGGGGGTGACACACAAGGGGGAAACTGTGAAGTTTTCACAAGGACCAAGTTCCTATGAGGAACGTGATCATTATGTACTCCAAACATGTTATAGGGAGTGGCTGAGGAGAGGGAAATGGGATGAAAAGGAATGAACACGGGCCATGTACTTATACCAGCTCCCCACAATGAATGTATCATTATGTATACAAACACTTACCAATAGAAAACACCTTCAGTCCTCCCCCAAGTTCCTCTCCTTGATTCCCAGCAGATTCTGAGCTGCTCCCTTTGCTGACAGGACGTGTCTGCTCCTGTGACCTGCTGAAGATCCTCACAGCAAGGCCCTCCTCCCTGAGACCAGGGAGACAAAGGGCCAATTCCTTTAATGAACACAGATGCAAAAATCCTCAGTAAAGTACTGGCAAACAGAATGCACCAAATCATCCAGAAGATCATATATAATGACCAAATAAAATTCGTTCCAGCAATATAGGGAAGGTTCACCATGCCCAAATCAAACATATAATACAATGCCTCAACAGAAACAAGGGCAAGAAATACATGACCATCTCAATAGAGGTGGAACAAATATTTGACAAAATCAATATCCATTCATTATGAGAATCCTGAAGATAATAGTTATAGAAGAGCCTCATCTCAGTCTCATAAAAGTCATCTATGACAAACCAATGACCAAATTCATATTAAATGGGGAGAGGCAGAAAGCTTTCCTTCTAAAATCAAGAACAAGACCAAGGATGTCCACTGCCACCACTCTTGTTCAAAATAATTCTCAACACATTATTTAGAATAATCAGGCGAGACAAAGAAATTAAATACATATGTAAAGGAAAGGAAGAATTAAGTTATTGTTGTTTGGAGATGATATGATCCTCTATATAGAACACCCTAAAAACTCCACCAAAAACTCCTAGAATTAATAACCAAATTTAGTAGCATAGCAGGTTACAAAGTCAACACACACAAATCAATAGCCTTCCTGTACACCAGTAATAAACTCACAGAGAAAGAAATGAGAGAAACAGTACCTTTAACAATAGCATCAAGAAAAATGAAATATGTAGGAATCAACCTAACCAAGGAAGTGAAAGACCTCTACAATGAGAACTACACTACTCTGAAAAAGGAGACAGACGAGATCATCAGCAAATGGACTCATTCTTACAAGCCTGCCCCATGGGGTCCAGGTCGAACAACACAGATGGATCTGGATTGTTCACAGAGAGTCTTGCTGATCTGGGATTTCCTCATGCCCTTCTGGACCTCACTTGGAGTGGGAGCAGGTTCTCTATGCTCCTTTCCCATGAAGGACAGACATCAGAACAAGGACATTACCTCTCTCTGACTGAAGTCAGTGGATGTCACACTCACACCTTCACGGGGGAAAGGAAGCAAGGGCCAAAAAAAAAAAGAATGGATGGAAAAAAATGAAAATAAGCTCCTGTAAGTAAGGAAGGGCAGAGGAGTTGAAGGGAGGGGAGAGGAATGGGAAAACAAGAAGAAAGATATATCATATACAGGTACCAATTCCCCATGATAAATGTTATTATGCATATCTAAACTGTGCAAATAAAAAAGAGTTGTTTCTGGGCCCCTCTGTGCTCCCTCAGCCCTTATCTTGTCTCTCCCAAAGCCAGGACCCTGTGTCAGCCCCACTGTGCTCCCCTTCGGACAAAGTGTCTGACACTCAGATTTCTAAGGCAGAAAGGTCATCATGGGTGTGGGGAGTGGAAGTGGAGTGCCCTGGCAAGTGTGTCCCAGGGACAGGCTGACAACATGGGAAGATACATATTATTTGGGGACCCCCTCCCTGGCTTAGGGCTTCCACCCTTACCCCCAGCCCTCAACTTGATGACTTAGCTGAGCCCAGGTCCTCTCTCCTGTTCCCACCTTAAGCAGGGACTTCAAAACCAGGTTCTGAGTTCCAGGGGTACCGGAAGCAAAATGGGGTGCTCTACTGCACGGTGCAAGGCTGTCAACAGAAGCAGATAAGGGTTATTTTCACATTCTTAGCCTCAGATAAGGGCTTCCTCTCTCACTTAGGCCCTGAAGTTAAGCTAAGCAATCTGGGGTCCTGTCTTCTCAGCCCACGTGAAGGGCAGTCCTCAGAACAAGGCTCTGACACCCAGGGCCCCATGACAGACATGGGCATGGGGCTCCTCCTATCCTATCTACCCCTGTGTGGAGCAGGTCATATCTACTCTGTGTGTGCACAGCAGAGGTGGATCTGGATTTCTGGGCAAACTCTGTGACCTGAGGCTTCAGCAGTGGCCCACATCCACTCGCTGTGACCCAGCTAAGCCTAGTCCTTTCTGCTCCCCAGACCTGAAGCACAGGTCTCAGAGCAAGGTTTTATCTCTCCTCTCCTGCTGCCCTGAGACAAAGCAGGTGATGTCCTGAAAATGCTCCCCCAGGGGGTGCTGGGCTGTAAGAGAGGCAGATCTGGGTTGTTTGGGGAACCTCTCCCTGGCTTGGGGCTTCCTCACTGTGCCCCCAGGGCTTCATCTTGACCTAACTTAGCCCAGGTCCTCTCTTCTTTTCCCACCTGAAGCATAGTCCTTAGATCTGGGTTCTGAGCCTCCTCTCCTGGTGCCCTGAGGAGAAAGGGGTGCTCCTCTAAGACATTTTTCCCCTGAAGCTGGGCTCCCTTGACCTACCTGACTCTAGGCCTTTTGCTCCTCCTACCTGAAACACAGTCCTCAGAAAAAGGCTCGGATTTTCAGTTCAAATTGAGGAGAAAGGGGGTGCTCTCCAGAGAATTCTGCACTGTGAGGTGCAGGACCACCAAAAGAGGCTTTTCTAGAACATTCTGAGATTGTCTCTGTGGGGTGAGGATTGCTCAGTACCACCAACAGCCCCTCACCTGGACCTAACTGATCCCAGGCTCTCTCTGTTCCTCTAACCTTAAGTTCAGTCCTCAGAAGAAGGCTCTGATATCCTCTTTAGGGCCAGGGAGAACAAAGGGAGCCTCCTTGCCTGAGATTTCTGTACGTTTTGCTGCAGTACAGGCAAGAGAAAATTTTCTAGAATGTTCTGAGACCAGATCTCTGGTGTGAGTCTTCCACAGTTTTCATCTTGACTGAATGAACCTAGGTCCTCTCCACTCCTTCTTTCGGGAGCCAGGACCACAGAACAAGGGTCTGATGCTACGTTGTGGATCCCCTGAAGCACAAAAAGACCCACACCAGGGAATTCTTCCCATGAAGTAGGGATAACAACTGGGTATAGCTGGACTGTTCCAGATTGCTCTCCATGGAGTGGGGCTTTCTCACTCCCCCCACAACCCTTCAGTGTGATCCCTAAGTGAGCCCAGCCCTTTCTGCTGTCCTCACCTGAAGTGTGCAGCTCAGAACAGGACCTTCCATAGCTCTGACACAAAATGGAAACATTGAATGGATGTCATACGTAGCAACACACACAGTTTCTCACGGCTGACAGGAGGAGCAGAAAGAAATTCTCCAGGCCCCTCATTCCTCCCCAGGGATATCCCATTACTGGAGAGACAAAATGGATATGTTCAAAACTATGAGTATACAAATTTAATGCAATCCCAATCAAAATAGCAATAGCATACCTTGAGAAGTATAGAAAACAATCCTAAAATGCATATGGAACCAGAAGAGACCTAGAATAACAAAAGCAATCCTAGGAAACGAGAGCAAAGCAGGAAGCAACAAAATCTGGAACCTCAAGTTGAAGTACAAAACTATAGCAATTAAAAGAGCATGGTGGGTGGGGATTTAGCTCAGTGGTGCCACTGCCTGCCTCTCAAGCACAAGGTCCTGAGTTCAATCCTTGTACAAAAAAAAAAAGAGCATGGTACTGGCAACAAACAGACTGCTGAATGAATGCAAAAGAACACCAAGCAACCTCAGCTACCTGATCTTTGACAAGGGGACCAGGTACTTTCCCTGGAAGAAAGAGAGCCTTTTTGGCAACTGGTGGTGGGAAAATTGGCTATCTACATAGGGAAGATTGAACTTAGACCCTATATCACTCAGCATGCAACAAAATAAAATTAAAATGCCACAGTGGCCCACATCCTCTTGCTGTGACCTAGCTAAGCCCAGTCCTCTCTGCTCGTGAAGCAGAGGTTTCAAAGCAACACTCTGTCTTTCCTCTCATGGTGCACTGATCCAAACAGGGCGATGTTCTGAAAATTCTTTCCCCCTAGGGTGCTGGGCTGTAAGAGAGGCAGATCTGGGTTGTTTGGGGAGCCTCTCCCTGGCTTGGGGCTTCCTCACTGTGCCCCCAGCGAGTCATCTTGACCTAACTTAGCCCAAGCCCTCTCTGTTTCTCCCACCCAAATCATAGTCCTCAGGACTAGGTTCTGTTGCTCCTATCCTGGCACCCTGGGGATAAAGGGGTGCTCCCCTGAGACATTTTTCCCCTGATACAGGGCTCCCTTGACCTACTTGACCCCAGGACCTTTGCTCCTCCCACCTGTAGCACAGTCTTTAGAAAAAGGTTCTGACTCTCAGTTCCTACTGAGTAGAAAGAGGGCGCTCTTGGAGAATTCTGCACTGTGAGGAGCAGGTCCAGCAAGAGGCTTTTCTAGAACATTCTGAGATCTTCCCACTGGGGTGAGGATTCCTCAGTACCACCAACAGCCCCTCACCTGGACCTAACTGATCCCAGGCTCTCTCTGCTCCTCTTACCTGAAGCTAGTCCACAGAATAAGGCTCTGATATCCTCTCCAGGCTCAGCGAGGATGAAGGGGGCCTCTCCTAAGAATTCTGCACCTGCACCTGCGGGGCAGGCAACAGAGGTTTTTCTAGAATGTTCTGGGGCCATTTCTCTGCGGCGGGACTTCTTTACCTTTTCCAAGGCATTCAACTTCACTGAACGGAGCCCAGGTCCTCTCTACTCCTCCCTCCTGAAGCCTGGTCCTCACAAGCCTCTAACTGCGTTCCCTGTTCCCTCAGGCAAAATCGAAACGTCACCAGAGAATTTTTCCCGGGAGTGCCTGGCTAAGCACACAGTAAATCTAGATTGTTCAAGGAAGCTCTCCCCAGGATGGAGCTTCTTCCCCGCCACCCCGCAGCCCCTCATTGTGACCACTAACTGAGCCTGACCCTCTCTGCAACCCCTCACCTGAAGCGCGCAGCTCAGAACAGGAGCTCCCTTCGCTCTGACGCGAAGCACTTATAGTCAGTGGATATCGCATCCGGGAACTTATACAGGGGTCTCCCAGGGCTGACAGCATGAGCAGAAAGGAATTCTTCCTGCTCCTCCCTACCCCTAGGGAATCAACACCTTGGTTCCTGGAAGAGTCTGTACCCCAGTCCCCTATTGACCTGATTCTGTTCCCCACTGTCCAAGGATTTATCTCACAGGGGCCTCTGAGGATGAAGCCCGTT